CAATATCGGCATTCTCCACTGGACTCCATTTTGACACTTGATTTCGTATCGATAAACTGTATTAAAGTAACATTGTTGCAAAGCATATTTGAAGTCGTCGCATAGTACCTCTTAAGCCATTTGTTGTTAAATTAAAGCGAAAAAAAATACGTATCCAATATTTTTCTATTATCTGACTGACGGACTAAATCGAATCTTTTTTTTAACCCATTCGTTATACCTATTGGCTAACAGCACTTATAATATTAAAAATTCATATTTGTCATTAATTAAAAGGGTGTTTTTTGCAACGACTTCTTTGTTTTTTTGTAATGAATATGGGCGACTCTGGCCACATTTTTTTAATAAATGTGATGTTAGCCAATTTTGATTTCTGGCCCTTATATTTATAATGTGTTCATAACACATACATGTCTCCTAAGGGATTTTCATCACAACCTTTTGCTCTGATCCAGAACCACTATCTATCAAATTAAATTAGTCAATATAAACACCAGATTACAATAAAAAAAACATTTATTTTTGTTACAATTAAGTGCCATGGATAAATTACATAATACAGGTGTCACAAAATCATCATGTTAATCACAATAGAAAATTTAAGATAAGATTTTGACTATGAATCAGACTAAAAATACTTTAGTCTGATTCATAGTCAAAATCTGTTTCTAAATATTCTACACCTGATAACAATGACAAGGAATCATCAGAGTCACTCTCTTCACTACTGTCTGCACCAACAGATATAATAAATTTTTCAAGTTCGTTTTCAACAATGCCATCTTTTAATTTGTAATCATTTTCGACATTTAAAACATGATCAGTGTATTTCTTCCAGTCACTAGGGGTAATTAAGTTAAAACACTCTATTATTAAGTTTTCCATTTCCTTTCCTGGTTCTCCAATGTTTCTGCTTGCAATTTTTCTTTTTGCTTGACTCCAAACCATCTCTATTGGGTTTAAGTCACAATGATACGGTGGCAGCAATAAAAGTTCATGATTATGTTCTTTTAAAATCTCTTCAGCTTCATATACAGGCAATGTTTTCTTATCATTAACCAAACACATTAACTCTGCCTTTGTCTGATATTCCTCAAAATGTATTCCATTATTTACAAGCCATTTACGGATATCTGCTTTGGTATTAGACATTATAGGCGGTTTATTGATTTGTTTTATATGGTAGCTGGCATTATCCATAACAATTACACTGGGCTTACTTAAATTTGGTATTAATTTTTCTCTGACCCATTTCATAAAGTTCGATGAGTTCATATCATCATGATAATCAGCAGATTTGGATTTACTACTGAACACTAATAATGCACCAGGCACAAAACCTTCCTCAGATCCAGCATGCACAACAATATGCCGTTTTCCAGAGGATATCTTTGTAGTGACACCAGTTGTTGAAGGTCCTTGCCAAGACTTTTTAACTTTATAATTCTGATGTACATAAGTTTCATCAAGGTACACAATTTGCTTTCCTTCGTTTCGTTTTATATTTATTTCTCTCAAATACTTGTGCCTCCATGCAGAAATCTGGTATTTTTCTATAAGCATAGAACGTTCATTTTCATTGCTTTTAAAAGAAAATCCATTCTTAAGCATAATTTTTCGTAAAGTCTCACGGCTACCACTGAATCCTATTGCATCTTTTAATTCATTGTGAAGGCTTCTTAATGTTGGAACAATTTTTTTCACACAGTAAAATTCATTTACTTTATTCCGAATTGCACTTAAATCAAAATTATCTAAAGCAGACACTGTTGGTTGATGAGGTCGTTTTTTCCCAGGAGTGTCCCATTTTCCTTTATTAATTAATGCTTCATTTTTTATCCTTCTTAGTGTCCTTATACTTACATCTATAAAAGATTAAACACTTTGAAACAAAGATATGTTAAATGTATTTAAAAGCAAATAATGATAGACACATACATCAAAATAATTTAAATACCTATTCAACTATGAATGCAATTTATGTTTAATTTAGTTAAGTTTATGTGCATATTTAGCATGTATAACAATTACATGGTTTGATTAGTTTCATGAATTCTGTGAATTTCCTTGTTAAACAAAACATTCTTATGACATCATTGGATGTCAACAATAAAAACCAATACATCATAAAAAACCTATGTAAATATTATAGGAATACTATCAATCTATCTTAAATCAAAACAAGAAAAGAGACCTGTCATTGAAGAAATTTTTTGTAAGTACTGCGTTTCCGAATTCAGCATTTCTTGTTTTTCTAAAGTTTTTATTGCATTTATCTCCTCCATTATTGGTTGAATATCACCATCACAGTTATCTGAAATAGAGCAATATTTTATAAAAAATATCTGTTTAGTTAATTACAGAAAATTAAAACGAAAGTATCAAAATTATAATACAAAACTAACCTAAAAAAGATACAACTTTATCTAATCGTTGTAATTTCTCCATGAAATTTTTATTTAATTCAGTTTTCACTTCAGTAAACTTGTCAATCATGATGGAAAGAAGTTTCCTCGATGAACTTTTTATCGGCTTCGACATAATTTTTAACCAAAAACACAAGTTCAAATTCGCAAAAACAACAAAATTCAATATTCTTGAATTGTCAAACGTAGTGTCAAACTGACAGTTCTATGTTGTTGCCATATGAAAACGGAAAAATAGGTGGTGTCACGTTTCGCTTGCCAAACTCTATGATGACCATAGTTTAGTATCTTGGATGGGCCAGACGCGAACAGAATGTAGCTGCTCTTGCAGCATTCCGTATTCATTAGTAATAAAGAAAAGAAAAATCAACATGTTGTTTTGCTAGATCCTTTTGAAATTAGTATTTTCACTACTACTTTATATACGTTATAGTGTAAGATAGAAAAGTAGAGTTATTGAGAGCAATCTTAGAAATTCTATTATTTTTTTTGATGTTCATTGGTTCACAAAAATGATTTTATTTCTTACAGTCAATAAAAATAATTTATCAGATATGGTTGCTCCATATCTGATAAATTATTTTTTGAAGTATTATGTGAAAGTATGCACTTCTAGGACTACGATTAGGCATTATCTGAAGTGTGCTTTACATATTTCAACTGTAATACCTCGAACTCAAAATGCTACAGTTTAAATAATACGACGTAACCTCAAAAATATATTACACAATTACTCGATACTCCCAGCTTTTAAAAATATATTGAATTTCTATCTTTGTTCTAGCTGCATAGGCAAACAAAATAACATATGTTTCATCAAGTTGCGTTTTATTCGATTTTACTAGTCCAAGCATGTTAGGCAGATGGCCATTGTTCTTTCTACTGCTTATTCTCAATAACCTAAGTTTTTTTTAATTTCACAAGTCAAATAGTCTGTTTGTTTTTAGTCTAAGATTGTATTTAGTTTTATGTGAAATATGATGTATTTTGCGCGTGCATGCACCGGCATTGAAAACACATTTCACACAAAACTAAACACAATCTTTACTAAACTAAACTTAACACTCAAGACGAACACTCTAGTTTCTTATTAACAAAAATTTAATTAAAAATGCACTAGAACAAAAAAATATCGACAAAAAATCGGTGGGGCTTTTATCCAGGGCTGACCTCGTTTCACCTTTTTTTTAAATTCGTCTTTTGATATCACGCATTTTTATAATGTTATTTTTAAATGCAATTACTTAAATACTATTTTAATAACAAATTCCTCAATGTTTTTAAAACGAAGTACATTTGTGTTAGTGATGAATCGCTAAAAGATTTGTGAGTTTATCGAGTTTAATTAACAATCCCGTTGTTAAAGGAGTATTACCCCAATCAAACAAATTTTTTGGAGAACTGCTCTTTTAAAATAACGTAGGTTAATGTTAGACTGATCTCTCTACAATAATTTAGGAAATTTTACATTCGATTTCTGAATTGAGGATTTAAAGTTAAACGTCTCAAACTAACATCACTTAGTTTTGTTTTCGATTTTAGTTTTTTGATGATCAGTTGATAGCAGTTTGATAAAACTAGAACGATTTGACTTGTGAAATTAAAAAAACTCAGGTTATTGAGAATAAGCAATAGAGATTTTCTACTTTTTTCAAATCAGAAACTGTAAATCGACTTAAGCATTTTGACTGCCTTGTTTATTGATTATCTGGTAGAATTTGCATGAAAACGGTCTTATAAATCACAAACCAGTTTATTTTGTTTTTAGAAATGAAGAAGTCATTAACCGATTAAAAACTTTTCCTTAGTACGTCCCAAAAACAGCTGACTCAGGGTTGAAAGCACTCATTTTTTTCTAAAAACTTTGTAATTTAATATCTCCGAAACTATTTGACCTAGACATATATTTTATTACATCATATTAAAGACAAATGATACTCCCAGGAACCTCGGGAGTGACGGTCGTTCTATTCCACCGAGTATAGTTTGATTTCGGGAACTAATGTTTTTTTTTAAATACTTTCTCATTGTTGCAATACACTAGAATTAGTAGAAAAGGAGCGGCAAACGCGAGTTGAAAGATTCAAAAATAACTTCTTCAGATCGGTCTTCATCTTTGGGGTTTCAAGCAGTTACTAGATGGTAGAACCATTCGTACGAAATCTACTAGGCAAAGAAATAAGTATAAATTTAGTGATAAGTAGCACTTATTCCCCTAGGAATGAAATATATGACTACCTGTCTATGTGGTCAAATAGTGACTAATCAATCACTGATATATTTTGCAACAGGTTTTTTCTCCAGTTTCACCCAAAACTAGAAACTGATAAGGCGGCTCATAATTAAACTAAATTCACATACTCATTGACCATAAGGGTCCGTGGACCATAGGTAAGGAAACATTGATTTTGGTAACCTATTTTTTTTATCATATCGCGTATATATATTTTTTAATGCAAATATTATTAATTCGTAAATACGAAGTCACATCTCTATACTATAGGTACCCTCAACAGACCTACTGACTGACTTATGTAGGCAAAGATGGTAAAGCGAGGCCGTTAAAAAAATTGATTGACGTTCCTTGTCAGTTTGTCTTAGTATATACTCTTTGGTAAAAAAAAATAAACTAGTAGATGAAAGCAAATAAGTACCTGGATGAATGAAACTGCACTATAAAATAGTGAAAAAGATATAGTAACAATATGATTGACGAGGATAATAAAACCCTTTGGTGTGGAAATTTACCTGAACAAGTAACTGAAGAAATACTTTATGAGTTGTTTTTGCAGGTAAAAAATGAGCTAAGTTTGTTTTTATATTTACCCCACAACTTTTAATCTACCTATTCAATTAGATAGTCGTTTATGCTTAGTATATATTTAAGTAGCAATTTTACAATCAAATTAGTTTCAAGATACATGTAATTTTTATTCAAAGATTTTTTACAAGGATTCTATGTACTACTATAAATGCTTTTCAGTGTTAGAAAATTTCTCACTAAGGTGTTGTGTCAACAAAACACGTCTTTTAGGTTACTTATTTCAAAAGTGCACTTGCAAACTAATAAATTTTTATTAATTTCAGGCGGGGCCTCTTGAAAAGGTAAGAATTGCGAAGGATAAAGATGGACGTCAGAAAAACTTTGCCTTCATAACATACTCTCATGAAGTGTCAGTGCCCTATGCTATTCAATTGTTCCGTGGCACAGCATTATTTCACAGAACGCTTTCGTTACAAAGCAGAGGACGTATCGCTCTGCTGCCACCCCCGATAAGATGTTCTGGACCAGATCCAGCAGTTGATTTTCAATTGCACATTAACATGGCACAGCAGTTTGCCGAAATGACAGAAAGACTCAAAGAGGATGACCACAATGTAGTCCAATTACCTCGACAGACCCATGACTTGAGCGACAAATTAGTTATAGCCAGCTTACAAGGCAATTGGACACACAGACACCATCCATATCGCCCTGAGAAATCTCATGGCAGAGATGATTATAGGCATAAAGATAATCATAGTGATAATTATAAGGGAAATAACCGTACTAAGTACTCTGGTAACTGGAGAGACAGAAGAAATCATAAGAAAAACTATAATCATAGAAGAGAGTAGATAAAAGTTAAAAGAACAGTATATACCAATAAGTTGTTCTAATATTACATTTCTAGTTTTTTTGCATTAAATATTGCATTCTGTAAATTTTACAAATATTTTGTCCGTTTATCTACAAATAAAACAACATAATTTTGGAGTCTAATTCAATTTATTAATCAGTGAAGAGAAACTTTTTGATACATTACTTGAAAACAAATTTCAATACAAACTTACATTACATTTCAAAGTCACTGGAGTTTGTATAAAATACTTTGTTGTCATTACATTAGCATACCAACATAATTGTTTCTATTTTTTAAAGATTAAAATAATTTTAATCTTTTACAAAAGCTATCATTTTTTTATAGCTCATTTAATATGATGCCTGTTTGATAAAAATAGTCTCGGAACCCTGCCTGCAACAAAAACAAATTTAAATAAATTATCTATATGTATGTAAAGCCGCATGTCACATTACACCCCAGATAGCGATTAAAACTTGTTTCTGACTTGCAACAAGTTTGATACATCAAAAAAGAAGACTTGCTTCAAGTTTGCCATGACAACTGCAGCAACTTGCGCTGTCTCTGAGTCGGATCAATGTAGAAAATGTACTTTTCTATTTTGTCTTGGGTCTGGGTGTTGTGGCACCTTCGTATTCTCAGATACTCCTTATCGAGGAGGCTTTAGCTACTCACCTTGTAATCTGAGCAATGTATGTAATAACGAGTTCCATTTACTAGATTTGGAAGAGTAGAGTACTCATCATTAGAGATGGGGGTTTTCATGTTTTATTAAGAATATATACTAGTACATCGGCTGTTTTATTTCAAAAATCTAAATTATTTATTCAGTCTAAGCTGTTACAAGCACTTGTAAAAGTCGAGAGCTACGCCATCGGTTCGTAAATCTACAGCGGGGAACTTTGTACCGAGAAGAACCGGCAAGAAACTCTGCAAGGGCTGCTTTTTTCTCCCTGTTTTATTTCATTAAATGAATCAACTGATTTTGATGTATCCTATTTCATTCAACTATTGAATATAATATATTACATTATCTGCTCTATGGGTTAAATTACAGCATATAGAATTTCATTATCAGCCCTTTTACGTCCCCATTGCAGCCCTCTTTGTACTACCTAACACTACTTCTGCCTCGTCCCTTTTCTTCGATTTTGCTCAAGTAAACGGATACTGTGAATCGATCCTCAAACCTCAAATTCGCCGAAAGATACACGTTATGATTATGATGTTACGTATCATTTCATACATTAATATTGTTATGAAATATTCTATTTCAGGTTTTATAGTGTTCAGAAGTATAAATGATATCTATTCAAATTGGTATTAAACGAGAAAACCCGAATATATTCCCGATTGGGAATTTTCCTGGGTTTTTCCCAATTTTGGGTTTTTGCCGGATGAAATCCCATCTCTACTCATCAAACTGATTATTAGCATAACATAGAAAGAAATTTGCATAATTAAAGAAAATAAACGAATCCATAAGGAACTTACAATATTAGACTTATATCTGTGACCAACATAACCGAGTACTTCATAGATGAACGCCAACGAAACAAAATAGAAGACGACGGAAATAATTTTCTCGTCCATGTCAAATATATTGGAATGGACTATCTTGTATATGACGTAACTGCCGAGGATGCCCCGCACCGCCACAAATAACACCAGATAAGTCAACTCAACAAGGTAGTATATCGTGGTGGCTTGGTAGCCTTCATTACGTAGAAACCTGAAAAGAAATAATGCTAGTGGAGGCTATATAGTGTCAGTCAGTCTGCGATTGAAGATGTTAATCCACTTTCGCAAAGGCCAATTGATGGGTGACCCAAAATTTCTGAAGCAGTGGATCGAACTCCGTTTTCAAGGGATCGTCTAATCTGAGGGTTCGATTCCTGGTCGAAATAAAAAAAGAACACTTTTCTACGTTGTCTCAGGTCTGGCTGTTATTTAGTTACCTTGGTTAATTAAAATAAGTGTTTTAGGTACTTAGGATTTGACCAATGTATGTCTGATGTTCATTTGAGCTCTTTCGTGCTTCCAGAGACATGTTATGCCATCCGTCTTATCTGCAGTCGATAACACCCACCAAATCCGCACTGGGCGCTCGTCATTCACCGATCATGGCCCGTTCTCCAGGAATGTCTAACAAATATTTTAAGGTCTAACCCAGTAAAGGTCTGGATTTAGTTGTGAAAACATTGATAGACTGATAATGACCAATAATTAATAGTAAAAGGGATGATTAAGAAATGCCACAAGCTTGTATTCAGATTAAAAGTACCTACCTGAATTCAACAACGATAAACCAGGGGCGCTACGGCCTAACTCACGGACATAACCGTAGTGGTAGCTATAACCTACGCTTTATCGATATTTCTTATGAATCTGTTTATATTCTTTTAAAAATTATTGTTTTTTTTATTTATATATTTTATCAAACACTTTGGTTTATTTTTCTTTTCCAAATAGCATTGTTTGTATCAATTCGACATTTTGTAAATTTCGTTTAACTTTAATAATTCAGAAAACAAAAACAACTAAAAGCATTGATTAAATATGTAAATAATAAAAAAATGATTAATTTTAAAACAATATCACCAGGTTCATGTGTATAACCCATAAAGCGTAGGTTATAGCTACGACTACGGCTACGTCCATGAGTTAGGCGGTCGCACCCCAGATCCACATACGCACTTACTCAGAACGCAAAGATGTAAAAGAAAATGGTTTCAATTCATTCCAATCGATAATCGAATCTTAAATAGAAATTCGGTAAAATCAGGAATATCTCCGATAAACATAATCGAGTTATCTGAGTTATGTGTAAATAGTCTAAAATGAAGCCTTTAGGAGTTCTATACGGACTGAGTTCACGCATTCGGTCAACTGTGCCACGATGCAACTTTCGCAAGATCCGGTCTTGTGATGAATGTCCAAAAATATCTTACCTCTACCTCTTTCGTGCTTTACTTGGTTCCAGCTGGAGTCATAACATCCACAAATCTATGCCTCAGCAATGCGGATATTAATATGCCAATAATAATATTATTGATATCATAATAAGTGCTAACCATCTCGTCTGCAGCAGCGGATTTGTGACCTCCATCATAGCTAGAGTGCAAGCAAAGGTACACCCTGTGTAGTCTTTATGCATGTAGATTGTGATAGCAATGAGCGCGCTGATGTGATGGCACAGCATCAACTTATTCTCTCTCCAATATGTGAGGCACCACAGCAGGTCGAATGCGAAATAACCCCATGACCACACCATTAGTGCGTAATGATGACTTCGAATTTTCACTGGAAATGTAAAATAAACTTTTCGATTCTATTAAATAGACCAGGTATATTGCAAATAATTGAGCAAATTAGCGCCAAAAGTAATTATTTTTGTGGTCAAAAACAATCATGCTTATTGTAAACTCAATTACAAGGCTATAAAGTAGAAAGGTTCTTCATATATTTATCAAATCTAAAATATATTGTCGACTTGTACAGATAATACGTATACAAACACTTACGTAGTTCCGAATAACCGAAAAAAGCTAGTCTCAAAATGTTTTTCATAAGTAAATGTTTAGTGCTTCGCAAAAAAAAATCTCAACTCAACCCCTAGCATCTTCTTAGTTAAAGTCAAACCCTCTTTATTGCAATCTTTTGCATATTATGCAATATAAGTATAAAACCACATATTACCTATGTGGTGCAACTTTATTTCCTTTTGCAAATATTAATGTATATTTCATTCAATTATATTATCATCAGAAACATATTAGTAAAATGAATAGGTACTTTTTTAAATTGTTTGCTTTTTCACTTCTCATTTTTTCATTTAACTTCGTTCCTATCTAAGGCATCTAACAAAAGCCTCATACAATGTTATTGATCAAACTCCTAGTCTAGGTTATACCTAGCTTATTATGAATCGAAATTGATAAACGACTCACTAGTGAGTGTCCATGCTGATAGTGTGGTGACACCGCATTGTGTCAATCCGACCACAGTAGCGACGCTCCCGTGTAGCAGGGTCACAGCCCGAGACCACCACTCCGGGCTGTATTTAGGAAACTGTACGGAAACCCACAGGTATAGACTACCCCAAAACAAGAACGATCCCAGTTTGAGTAAGGAGGCTGATGATAATTCTGGCTGGAGCATCACGTTGGTTCACGACACCATGATGATTCAGGCATTAACGACTGCAGTTGTACATTTTATTTTAAATCTTGGATTACGTAACTTTATTAAGTTTGATGTTATATATGACGTTGTCAAACATTATAGTTTTACGTTATGGATAGTGGTGAAGAGCTTGTAAAAATCATTAAAACCTATTCTCTTATTTATAACGGAAAAAGTAGGGTTTGCGCGCATTGGTAATTTTTGTAATTGCATTTATGTTTCTGCCACGTATTAAACTAAACAAAAAAAAGTCGGGGGACCGTTTTATAGAAGATTTCTAATTTAAGCTTCCCCAAATGCAATGAGAATTTTGTTTAGCCAAGCTTATTTTATTTTAAAGATTAAGTGAGAGAAATTTGATTTATTATTTCTTTCTTTTTAAAATTTTAGTACTAACAATTAAAATAGTAACTACTCCGTCTTGGTAAAGTGCATGTAGCTCATGAACCCTTTTCGGTGAGCCAACACAATATATCGGATGTTAGTTTTTGAGAAGTTCGACTATCTTGGCTGCAGCAACAGGTCAAGGTCGCCATATTATTATTGTGTTATTTGATTTGTTACTCAACCAATTAACATTAGTATAGCTAGGAATTTTTCCTATGGTGGGCCATGGCCCCAGCTATGAATCTTATTAATAATGAAGTTATTTTAAGTGATTTTATGTAGATGGTATTTTTCTAGGGTAGGTTCAACCCCCCCCTAGCCGCACCTATGGGTATCTAAAGTCTATTAAATTAAAGATTACTTCTACATTATCTCGGAAAAGAGCTGATGATCTTCAAATGTCTACTAAGATTTTCATAAAACATAGCTAAGGATAATCTCGGTTAAGTCACCTTTCTAAAAAACAGCCCTGCGATTCTGTAAAACTTCAAACCTGATTTCGAAATCACTCGGGTGTCCGAATTCACTTCAAAAAGCGGCATCCGCTCAAACTTGAATTGGTAATAATGTTTCGTGAAATAAGTGAAGTGAGTTTCGAAATGATATAGGATTAAAATATCTATGACACGTTTAATCAATCAATTTTGTTTTGTATTTTTATACAAAAAATGGAATCAATGATTTCTATACTAAATGACGAGAATTCGGACACACGAGTGAATTCGAATTCGGGTCTGGATTGTTACAGAATCGCAGGGCAGAATTATCCAGATCGGCTCACCAGTTTGGGAGCTACGACACACACATCAAACTTATACACCCCTCTAGTCGCGTCGGGGGTTAAAAATATTCAAAGTCATTATGAGCACGGTGACAAAAACTCACTAGTGCGAGTGAAACCTATTTTTACCGCATGTAACACATAAATAGGAGTGGAGAATAAGCTTTAATGACTTTTACAAGCTCTTTGCTCTTTGTAAAATTAATGAAATATCTCCATATCGTCGCCAGGATGTTTTGCTGTATCCTATGGCTAGAGTTAGGCGATCGCATTCCCCGGTCTGGGTATTGTGACACATATACTGTCGTTGCTTCAGATTTTCATTACATAACCGGTTTAGCTACTTGTAATTTGTGTGATTTAACAAAATATTGATTTATTTAACAGGTTTACCAAAGAAAACATGGTTTGATTTAAAAAAAAAAGTCAGATTAATTTAAATATTCGTTTACAATTCCTCTTTCCCCCATACTTACATAAGTATAACTTTAGTAAGTATCTAAACTACAACTTTGATTCTTATAAACTAGTACATGCTGTAAACAACAATAAATATTAATCCTAGGATTCATATATTTCTCTCCACTGGAGGATAACAACGTTTACTTTTTTTTACCTAGAAAAATACCTTTCGCACATATCAGTCATGAATTAATTTCGCAAAGTCGAAGTTATATACAAATAAACTAGATCAAAATACATACTTCAGAAACGTAGTGTTCGTAACGTATCACAAACTCTCCGGATTCTCTAAAATTGCTCCTCTCAATTACAAAAAAATCAAGTTCATCACTATTCAATGTCATCGAAGTTTTCCGATGAGTTTCTCGATGGCACGGTACCGAGAAGGTGTCATTGCGTCCTTCAACATCTGCCGAAATCGCATGTCGTAGGACAGCGCGAGGCAGAGCTGTCGAGCGTGTACACGTGTCTCAGCATTCGCATCGCCTAATGACTCACCGGCTGCTCTCAGCAACACTGTCCTCGGTTCCGAGGGCATGTCGAGAGTTTTAGAAGCGCCGTGATACTGCACTAGTTTTGCCAGAGCTTGCACCGCCGCAGCTCTAACGGGTCCAGCGCGATGACTAGCTCCTCGCCTAGCTAGCGCCACAGCAGCCCTTGCACTATTACTGCCACATGCCATTCGAACCAGAGCAGAAGCGGCGTCCGCTCTTAAAAATCTATTCACATCCGCACAACGATCGAGGAGAGCAGTAGCGGCCTCCTCCAATTCGGTGTCGAGGGCACGACCGTGGTATTCGAATAATGTGCCTAAAGTTGAACAAGCTGTCCTAGCTACTCGAGAGCGTAACGAACGAACATGTGCAGCGGTACCACGAACTGCAGCTCGCCAACTTGCTGCTGGTGCGCGAGCTGAAGGATCTGCAGCTAAACGTTCAGTTTCCAGCAGCCCGTTGACTATGACTTCCCAGTCTTCGTGACGCGCGGGAATGACACATTCAGCGAGGGCATTACGTACGTCCCGCTGGCAAGGAGAAGGTATGTCATCGTAAACGTCACTTATTGGATCTGGCGAGGGATTCCTGCTTTTTGCCGGGCTTGGAGTCGGATTTCTACTTTTTCTTAAACTCGGCGATGGACTTCTACTCTTCGCTAGGCTCAGTGATGATTTCCGACTCGGAGGTCTCGATCCATCAGCATCCAGAATATTAGAATTGATTGATTTTTGTGACCCAAAATCCTCTTCAATATTATTAATTACTGGAGATTGAGACAGTCTGACATCTTTATTATTAGTCGAATGATAGGATTTTTCTGAGTAATCTTCAACCTTTATCGATGGCGACCGGGGTGGTGGTGGGGGATCGTTAACGTCGCTTTCAGATATGCTGATATGAGTAGTGTCGCCTATAATTACAGCCTCGTTAGAGTTGTTATCTATTTCGGTGAAAATCTTCTTTTCGTCTGCTTTCTCTTCGTAGCTCGTGAACGCACTGGAGTCTCTGTAAACAAAGTGAGTTTTGTAGTATTTAATCGTGTGTGCTGTTTGTTTATGCGAGGGATGGGTGGATAAATAGATTGTTACCGCGTGTGCGGGGGTAGATCGGCGACGAGGTCTGGGGTGAGGGGTGGTACGGGCGCGGGCGCGACGGTCCGCTGACAACAGCAGAACCGAAGCATGGCCGCCGGCCGTCGCGGCACCTTCGCGACTGACGCCCCACGAGGGGTCGCCGCGACAACCGGCGCCCTACGCCGCCGATCAATTGACAAACATGTTGATGAACTCACCACTTTGCCTGCATATTATGCAAATTAGTTAACGCTACATTCACGGAACCGCTACCGTGTTGTAAAATTATTAGTCATCGGCAAAGTAAGTAGTTCAATGTATGTTGTGTATCGACTATGCAATAATGTAATACAATTTAGGTAACTTGAACCTATTCATCGGTGTTTCTTTAGAGACTAATAATAGGGTTATAATCGTAAGTTATGTCTAATAATAATTTTGCCGAAAAATGTTTAATAAAAGTCATGTAAAATGAATTGCTTTTGTTCGACGGTTAGGATATGAGCAGGTGTAGACGTGTGCAAAGTGGAACGATCCACCGATAGCACAAATGGGTCGTCCAGCCGCCGCCTTCAATGGAAGTGGGCCAATACTTTCAGCCCAAATGTAGGTTACTGGTGGCACGCAATTACCAGAGGCAAACTATGGGGGACTTTTACGACTAATATAATTCGTTTGACTGCTGTATCCAATGCTGAATCACCTTAATCATATTCTGAAAAGTTCAATTTAAAAAAATCTATCAGAAATATTGGGCATGTACACAGATGTACAATTTTTTCTTCAAAATAACAAAAAGACAACGAGATAATTTAATAATCAGTCTGAAGAACGACTTTCACAGTTAAGAATAATGGTTTTCAATAAAAAAAAAAATTGTCACTTTTATAATAATATTTCGGTGTAAAATGATTTTTCATTAGACAAGATGTTTCTGATTTTTGATAATTGAAATTCAAAATAAAATTTTGGTTTGCATCTTTCCACTTATATTATTGTAGGTACCCAATGATTGACAAAACTCACTAGGTCACTGTAATAAAATAAAACTTGAAATTAAACGGCATTCAAAGGTCCATCTTTGAGCTAACATTTTATCCAGTTCATTTACAAAGAGAGCAAAAGATTATCTTGGTATGGATACGTGATGAGAAGAGGTGAAATGTACGTAACAAAATGAGATATGAGCAAAAATATATACTAAACTAATGGCACAACCATGACAATAAAGAGATAGGCCGTTAAATATAATAATGATGAAAAGAGTGAATGTTGAGATGATGGGTGATCGAGAACTATGGAAGAAAAATACATATTGATCTGACCCTAAATAAAACAATCTTGAAAAGAACAAGGCAATACCACATTACAAGATCGAAAAGCTAATGTGTTGAGAAGATATTGCTAAGGCAAGTTTCAAACCTACGTCTTAAACTGTAGAAAATTTTACTAACACTTTCATTTCAATATAATAGATAATATTTTTCAATGTTTAAAATTTTATTTAAACACAATAAACTACATTAATCTTTTAAATGAAGCAGTAACGTTTCAAAAACTCAGCCGATACATTTCATTTATGTTCTCATTTTATGAGAATCAATCCTAAAACGAGTTTCAAAAGTTAGTCCAATTCACAAAACATAATCGTAAAATATGAAACTTGGAAAGTGATGTTAACATTATTATTTATATTTATTAGTAACAGTAACGCTTTAAATGCTTGGCATTTCTCATAGGTCAAAGTGATTTCTAGAATTTTGACTCCAAGGACATTTGCTTCGGCCCAATTCATTATTCATCCGCGTTAGTCACACCTCTTCTGGGTGAGTGACTTCAAGAAAATGGGCAAATATATACACAGTAGTTAATGGCGGCCAGCTAGTTTACATAGATAACGATCAGTCTGGTCACTTGGAATTGAAACAGAAATACATAAAAAAGAAAAATAAAAACGGAATGCGAATTATTATTGTTCCAGATTGTTTTCAATTACGACGCATTTGACTTTTTTTTATTTTATTACAACATGCTAGGATGGAGAGAAATAACTAATTAATAGTACATAGTAGTACTAACAACAACATTATTGCTTGTGATTAACTAATCTATGCCTATTATTATAAAGAGGAAAGATTTGATTGTTTGCATTAAATAGGGTCCAAAACTACTAGATCTATTTTAAAAATATACGTAAAGTTACATGATATATGGATCAGATAGGATACATTAAAAAAAAACGAAAGCACTAAAAAAGCACCTCCACTAGATGGCGACTCTAGCAAAAGTTGATTTTTGCAGGAAACGAATGGACCAAAGACAGTCATTTCCGTTCCTATTAACTAACATATTAAAAAACTGAAATTTGAAAAGTTCGAAACTTAGATGTCAAAACAAATAAGAAAAAGTACAAATAGAATATGAGTTGTTTATTGAGTTTTGAAAACTAATTTACTTTTAAACATGAACGAAAACCGGAAGAGTTGTCATGGAGAAATCAAGAACGTACCGTGGCGACATCTAGATAGATTTCGGGAACAATTTTTTTTTAAATACTTCCTCATTGAAAAAATATTTAAAAAACATTACTGCTTAAATCGAACTAAAAATCAAAGAAACGAGTTGTATTATGGCTTGGCTAAACAGAATTCAGATTGCAGTAGGAGGACCTTTTACACTCGTATCTATCTATAGCCAAAATAATAAATCACTTAAAAAAAAACGTTAAAGCTTAAACAAATATTTTTAAACGAGAATTTGAATGAAGTAAGAACTGTTAATTACTGATTATAATAATATACTAACTATCGACGGTTTTAATATTATTCCAGTTCTTGTTTATTTGGTAATATTTGCTAAGTTATGACATATTCTCAAGTGCCACATATTCTCAAACTCGTATAGGAACACCCTCAGAATAAGAACTTATACTGAAGGAACTGAAGGAAAACCTATTAGAAATATATGGTGCCTTCCGAAGCATAGGAGCTTGAGATAAAGCTGTTTTGGTCACACATCCTAAAACCGATATTTGAGAAATTTGTTTAATTAAAGAACGCGCTAACCAGTCGCCTTCACTCGTAACCTTAACAAAAACACAAGCAGCCAATTAAATTTGGTATTTTAAACAGAATATATTTAATTATTCAATAAACGGAGGGTAAGTAAGTATATGAAAGGTGGAAGCACGGAGGAGTTTCAGACAGTTGTCAGTTCCCACGACGCAAGGTCGACAGCCAGCTGACTAGTCAAGGTCCTCACACTTTACTGATTCATTATACAAATTACTTCTTGGAAAAAACTTAATTTTCAATTTCAAAGTTTCGTCATCTAAAAATTTCTTAGTTCAATATATCCTATATTGACAACCGCGAATAGAACTAAGGTTCTTAACCTTTAAGTTTTTTTTAAATTCTAAGACTGGGTTGACATTTGCCCGCAATCTGACGATGGTAAAATGTGGAGTCCTACCCAGGAAGTGCCTTTTCACTCAAGCTTTGAGGTTGAGCTTATACTGATTGGGGAATATATAACCAGTAAAATATATTCCATTCCTTATCTGTTCTATAAAGAAAGGAACTGGCAAATCGCTTAGTACTAGGTACTATTTACGTGCAGCAACCGCGTACCGGATGGAAGGCTATTAAGATTTTTCTCAGGTACACCTAGCCATTAGGTTTAAAGCTCTGCTTAAGTCTACATAAATAATATTATTATATTGTACGTTTCTGTATCTATAAATAATTAGCATAAAATATATAAAAGTAATCGACTTTTATTATATTGGTATTAATAATTTTATGTGGCCCATTGTTGACCACTTGGAACCACTGATATAGAAAATTATAATTTGTGTAGGTATTGGTCTATCCTTTTGGGTATCAGGACTTAGTGTCGTAATACTTTATAATTATACTTCTATAACACAAATGCATTTGGTACTTAACTTGAGATATGGGGCAGAGATGATGTTTGATTTATAATTGGATATCTACTTAAAATGGTTTGTACCTCGCCCAAAGAATTAGGTTGGCTATTTAAAGAGGAAACGCTCGCAGCCTTCTGGGTACCTTGCCTGTTGGCAATGATCTGGGTGACATTTTTTATTTAGTATAGTTATTATTTTAAGACATAGTTTAGATAAGTAGTTTTAATTTATTTTCTATTATAAGAAAGTCTACAAAATAAATCCTTGAAATGGTAAATAAGTTTATTTTTTAGAGCGTTGAAGATGAAAGCTGAAAATCAATATTGCAGTTATTTGGACACCTTTTGGATACCACACCTTATGCATTCTGCGTTAAATTATAATTACTATTTTCTTCACGTTAGATATGTAATAATGTTTGTGTTCTATAATTGTTTCTATAATTAAATAGCCGAGACCTCACGCGGGATCTTAATCGTATGCGGTAAATAATTGTTACAGAGAAAAAAAAGCGAAAGAAAAGAAATATAGAAAGAGATTATCCTTAGAGCGCACCCGATGGAACCCTGATATAAAATCGAGAGTACTTACTGAACTGATGTACGCCACTTGGACACGAACTCCAATACCGCTCCGTCCACAATCCTTCTGGTGTTCAGTCTGGGTATACTTATTATGATGAAATATTTATATTATTTATGCGGCTGGTAGATATTATTTAAGCGTTGTTGTGAAAAGACAAAAGGCGAATGACAGAAGAAGTTTTCTTCTTTTTATGCCGTCGTGGCGTCTATGCGGCCAGCGGTGAGGTTGCGTACGTAATACAACCTCCTTCATAGTTCGTAGCGTTCACGGCGGCGACGCAGAACAGCAGACCCCCGAAAGTACACCAGATATTCCTTAAGTGGTGCACTCATAAGGAAATCGAAATATAATTTAGAAAAAAGTTAAATAAGAAAAGTAAAGCAATGAAGCGGCGTCAACATTCTCCCCCCCTTGGAAGT